AATATTCATCAGTTCTGTAAGTTTCAAGCCAAAAGGTAAAACGGTTTTTCACTTATCGTGTTATCGGTGAAAGTGCACGGCGACGACGACAGACGCAGGTGATGGCTATATGTACAGACACATCTGTGTCTGTACATAAAAAGGATTAAATATGCTCCTTGATAACTGACATGACATAGTACAATGCAAAGAATTTTTTATGAAAATTCCTCGGCATATATTAGCCAACAATTTTGATTTTTCACAGCAAAATCAAGCAAACTCAACAAAGTCAGGGGTTGATTTTCCTGTAACTTTTACAGTAATGAAAAGAATACAGACAACAACAACAAAATGCATCAAAGAAGTCGATGAGTTTAATGCATATTTCAGTATTATTAATGCATAACGGTATACTTACCTTATCTTCAAACACTGTACTGTTATACAGCTTGTATAACATGGTGGTGAGAGACTTCTTTTGCAGCTGGAAATTACTAACAAACCTGGAATTAAACAAAATTTTCCAAAAACTATAAAAATTATCAGAATGTTACCTCTAAACTATTAAACAAAAAAATACTTTTTATCCTCAGCAGCTTGTATAATTGAAAAGTGAGAGTCCCTTGTGCATCTGACAGTGAATAAAAAGCGAAAGATTAAACATAATTTTAGTTAAATGTGTCATCAGCACATCTCTCAGCCAAGATTGAAACAAACAGTATTTTTAAAACCAGAACGGCTGTTCAGAAGAGAACTCTCACCAACTGCAATCAGTCAACCAGACAGTTAAACCAGGAATTCAGTTGTTTCAGATTGAAGTTACTGGTGAGAGATGGTGTCAGTATGGAATGTGATCACTGGCCTTCTGAGATTAATCATACAAAACACCAGCAAGAAATTTTACTATACTAATCTGAGAAATTGCATCAAATATATTCCTCACATAAATATTCAAAGACCTCAGTCACAAAGCATTTCTGTAGTGAACGGTACAGAAACCCCAGGCAAAATAAACAGAGAATTTATATCAATAACCTTCTTTATTTTCTCTTAGCCACTAATAAAGTAATATATAACATACTTCCTGGCTTCAGGGTCCCTCTTGTGTTCAGCGACATCTGGTGACAGAGACTTTAGGAAGCTCAGGTGTCTCGGCTGACCATCAGTGGACTGTGGCCTGATCTTGGCTTCTGTTGACTGTTGTAGGGTTCTTGGAATGAAGCTTGTCTTTGCTAAAACTACATGAATTTCAAAATCTATATATATATATACATATATAAGATACAGCCTGTGAGAGGAAAATTTGAAATTGTTTTAATTATAGTCCATATAACTCATATGTTAAATTTGATGTATTTCAAAAATTAAAGGGGCCTTTGGCTTGATGTGAATATAAAGATAAAAATAAAGAGTCTGATATATTTCAAGACTAGTGTTATAACATAAAAACAATAGTCAGAGAAGAATTTCATCAGCTGTGTTTTGTTATAAGCATACAGTAATTTTTTTTAAATCAACAGTTTAATACTGAAAAAGTTTGGTCGTAAGCTAACGATATGAAAGACTTTCCGCTTGTGTTTGATAATTTTCATCTATGATACTTTATTTTTATAAAAACAATTGTGAGACAGTTGTCATAAAAGATAAAGACTCACTTTTGGGCTTTCTCGGTATCACACTGGGAGTTTTGAAAACATCCTCAGATCCCTCTGATTGTGGAGAGGATTTATTCTGAATGCCAGAGGTAACATCTGATAATGGAGTCTTGAAAACCTCCAGGTCTTCAGAAACCTGTAAAAAAAGTTTAAAAGTACATTCCTTGTCTCATGTTTACCTTTTAGAGAAAGAAAAATACAGTTCCATCTAGACTAATGAAACCTCAAAGAAAAACGAAATTTGATAATGGAGTCTTGAAATAATTCAGGTCTTCAGAAACCTGTCACAAATGTGTTTACCTTAGAGTTAAAGGTATGAAATAAAGACACACAGTTGCAATTCTAATGAAATCTCAAAGAAAATACAAATTCAAAGTACCTGTACAATTATTTTTAGTGACATAAAAGACACTCATCGCTTTATTTATAAACATAAATGTAACAAGTCTATGTTTAAATTACATAGAACCATGGTTTACAGGGGCAGATCCAGACACAATTTCTGACAGTCTTCCAAATGTTCTTAGTTGACCCATTTCATTTTTCCCCATTTTTGATAGTCTTTGAACAAAAAAAAAAAAAAAAAAAAAAAAAAAAAAAAAAAAAAAAAAAAAAAAAAAATCAAAAAAAAAAAAAAAAAAAAAAAAAAAAAAAAAAATCCTGTCAGAGTGAACTTAAAACATTCTGACCATCTTCCAGAAGACCCTTTAAGATGTCCTCTGTCCGCCCCTGGTTTTTACCTTTGATGTTGTCTTCCTCTTTCCTTTCCCAGTGCTTCTGCTGGTGATACGATTCAGCAAGCTGTCAGTGTAATTGTAGAAAGTGCTATCATCAGAGTCCCTACTCATGTCTGAATCTGAGATGATAAACTCTTCCAAACTGAAACAAAAATTAAAGTAAGTGCATTGTTAATTAGTTGTAAGTCTTAAAAGTTGAAAAAATAAAACATAGTTCATGTAAACAGGAATATCGTGAAGATTAATGAGGTTTTCTGATTACATTCATACCTTATGCTAATGAGTACATCATGATTATAATAAAATACTGGCAAATGTTAATATCATTTACAATTTTTTGTTGCCAATTTGTTTTTACTTACCAAAGCATAGCTTGGTAACAGAATATCAGTTTATTAAATTGATAAACTCAATATTTCAACTTTAAGGGGAAAAAACAGTACAGAAAGTAAAAACGTATAAAAACCTGACTGTATATATGTTTTTTACCTAGCCTGAGATACATGTTTTGGCTTAACTGGGGTTTTCATCTTTGAAAAGACTGGAAATATAAAGAACATATCATAATACAATGCCTTGCATATTAACTATCATATCGAACATTTTTACCGAGTCGAGCCAAATAACCAAAGATCACATTATGCAATTTAAACAATATAACACTTAATTCACCTGGCTGTATTTCAGGATAAGTCATGATATTATGTTTGTTAATTTCACTGAAAACTTTAAATATGATACCATGTATTAATCTTGAGACAGCTAGGAAAAGATATCATTATTCATTGCGATTTACGGTATCCTTACATGATTCTAATGCTTCATCATCACTGGAGGCACTGTCATGATGTACAGTCCTGGTAAAGAAAAAAAAATGAAACAGTTTATCAACATGCTTACAAAATGCATAAGACAACAAAAATTATATGCATCTTTTTAAACCATATTAACAAAACGACACTTGTGACTGAACAGCATGACTGTATAATACAACTAACAAATGCCATTTTGAGAAAACTACTGTATATTCATTGTAAGGGAAATAATTTTCAAAAAATTAAGGTCAATCAACAAAACGTGACTTTTAATTTGGAAAAAAAAAATCAACAGTACTAGTAGGTATGTCAAAGAGTTATGCAAATATAACACAAAATGTGTGTATCAGTAAGGACTCAGAAAATCACTTTTTGTGGAAGAGAAAAAAAAATGCAAACTCGGTATAAAATGTGCATTGTAGCATATTTTGCTTAAAGAATTGCCCCTACACCTAAACATGAAGACGTTACTAAATAAAACATACCTGGATCTCCTTGCCCTTACTGCACACTTTGGGGTATCTTGAGTAGAATTTTGAGTAACAGAGGTGATCTTGTTGGTAGTTGGTTCTTGAAGAGAAACTGAGGAGAGGTCAGACTCTGAGAGATCACTTAAATCATCAGCCTTAGATGATGCTTTTTCTTCAACATGTTTCAACTCCTCTTTCCGGCTGTCCATATGAACTGCATCTTGAAATTCATTCTGTTCACCGTCAACATTATTTTCATTATTATCAAGTCCACTGATTCTATCCACACCACTACTAACATCATCTAAATTGTTGTCACTTTCGTCATCAGTAAGCACCATTCCAGTGTCGCTATCATCGGAAATCTTGTTATATTTGGATTGCTTCTTCTTCAAATGAGGGTTTAATGCTTCATGGGGTCTAACCTTCTCTTTATCTCTCTTTGGTATTTTCAAATTCTCAAAACTGTCACTTATGGACGACACAGACTTTTCACATGGGCTGGAATTGTCACTTGAAACATCGGATACATGACCCAGATTTCTTTTCTGTTGACCACCTTTTAGCCGATTTAGGTCCAATTTCACTGCTTTCCCAGATGTAGATCCTACAAATTCATTTGGAGAAATCTCCAGAATTGTGTTTCTACTGCCTTTATCGTCATTCTCCCATTCCTTGTCATCTGTCACACTATTTTCATTATCGAGTCCCTTGTCATCTGTTACACAGTTGTCATTCTCTTGTTTCATGCCATTTGTCTCACTGTCACCATGCCCTTTTTCTGGGTCCCCTGTCACAGTGTCAAAGGCATCCTGAAATGTGTTCTCCTCATTGCTACTTGCCTCTGAACTGTACGTTGGTGGGACCACATCCAGGGCATCATGGTACACTGATACGCGAGGCTTTCTGCGATTAAAGTGTGAGGCAAGGTGTTGCCCCATGTCCACTCCATTAAAGTCGAGTTTATCACTTGATTTTGTGGATGATTCAGGAATTTTGCCAGCATCTTGGGTGTCACTGTCATGGTGGGAACTTTCATTTGGGTTATACCTGTTCAAATCTAGTTTATATTTCTGGTTTCCATCATCTGAGGAAATGATATGCTCTAAGTCAAGTGATTCTTGAACACCCATGTCATTATTGATTTTAGAAGAATCCACGTCTTCTGAGCAGAAGGAATCTTGGACAAACTTGGCACTGGAATCACCTGGTATGGTGAAACTCCCATTCTTTGACTGTAAGGTGTCAGGTACCATCTCTTTACTGGTACTCAGGAGGGAGGTTGTACCCTCTTCTTTAGGGGCCAAGGAATCTGGTATAAAGTCTTCACTTTGGTCCTGAACAGATCTAGCTCTGTCATTTTTAGGCTGTAGGGTATCTGGTATACAATTGATACTGGAATCCTCTGAAGAATTTCCTCTTTCATTTTCAGAGCACAAGGACACCTGGAGGCTTTTGTCTGTTTTGCAAGTTGATTCCAAAGTGGCTCTATTTCCTTGACTCTCTGAAGCATGGGGTCCATTTTCTGTGGAATCCAACTCCATCTTGACATCCTCTTCATCATCAACAGCAATTTTCTTGGATTGTGGAAAAAGTTGACATGCCAAAGGCAACTCAGAGTGTTCTTCTTCCTTCTTTGTTCTTTTTCTTAGCTTGTGCACTTTCCCTGTAGTCTTTGCAGAGGTGGCCTTTTTGGATTTCTTTGATCTTTTATCCTGCACAGTGGAAGGAGCTTTGAAGTCACATGACTGTGAAGTGGTGTCCTGATTGGCTGAGTTCATGGACTCCTTCAAACTAGTACTTTTTGATTTGCTTTTGTTTCCTTTTTTCTTTGTTGTTAACTTGCTGCATTTTTTACCTCTTACTTTTGCTTCAAGCTAAAATCCAAGTAAAAGTTATACAGCGTCATCACTTTGCAGGTAATATGAATATAAAAATTTGTAACTTCTTTAAACAATTCTCACAAATTACAGGCATACACCTTCCAGTTATTTTTGTGTTTTTAAAACTATAAAATACTTCAGTTATCTTCTTAGTCACCCAATACCTTCATTTATTGTATTACCTCTTGTATTGCAGAGTCTAAATCTCCATCAGCTAACCAGCCCAACTTGGAAGCCATCTGACTGAACATGTCATCCAGACTTTCCCCCTGTGCTGAAAGACACAAAGGATGGAGTCGAATCAATATCATAATGGTTATCACAGAGTGAGAAATTCAGGATATTTCGCATAGTAAAACAATATTTATTAATTGATGAAAGAATGCAATATTAGTGGTCAAATTGCAACATGAATAAGACAGGCAAAAGTAAGACCAAAAACTCTAAGCAACTGGTCTTACTCTTTCTGTAATTAACAAAAATATGAACATAATATGACAATTCGGAAAAAAAAATTAATTAATTAAAAAAGTAAAATAAAAATATAATTAAAAAATTAAAAAAAGCCAAACTCCTACCTTGATCTTTTTCATCTTTACAATTCCCAGACTGGTCATCTGATTGATGGTCAATAGGGCTCAAGTTTAATGACCCTTCCACACTGGACGTAGAGTCTCTGACAGTGGAAGAAAGCTTAACATTTGGATCTACTGGTTCTGAATTATCAAAGCTCTCATTAGAAGAGGATCCACTGGCTACAAGTTCAGGGGTCTCTGACAAATCTGTGGGTATAATGGAGTCATATAGGGCCTGACATTTCTCACCGTTAGTTGAAGAATTTTGATTATCAACTGAAAAATCTAGATGACTGTTTTGGCAGACTTCCTCACTTGAAGTGATTTCAGTTATGGCAGACAGTGGGGTCTTGGCTGCACAAAGTTCAGAAGGTGCTTCATCTTCTACAGAAACCTGTTTCTGCTTGCTCTCATTTCCAACAGAATCTGCTGATGTTAGTGAATCAGCAGTTACAAATCCAAGCTCTGAATGGACGGATGCAGGCAGATCGCCATCTGCCATTTCAGTTTCCTGTTTTTCACTGAGATCACTCTGTGTTGAGTTCAAAGACACCTGTAGACTTTTGTCTTCTATAGATAATTCCTGTGCTGAAATTGAAGACTCAGAGCTATTTTTATCATTGTGACTACTTAGATCATCATTTAAACCAGAAACAAGAGGTTCTTCTTTTCCAACAACATTACTGACGCTAATTTTTTCATCTTCAGCATTCAAAGACAATCCATCACAGCTGTTGCTGGAATCGTGTGTACAGCTGTGACCTTCAGAGGTCAAAGATGCCTGTATGTTCTTATTGCTAGTATCACACAGAGAACTTCCAGTCTTACTGTTCTGGCCTTTAGTTTCACTTGACCAATGGAGGTCATTTTCTTCACTATCCTGGGGTGCTTGGATGGCACTGTTACTGGCAATGTCACAATGTGCAGAAGTTTCACTTTCAGAGTTCAAAACATTTTGATCAGTGTTGTTACTATGGTCGGTTGTACAACTTTCAACTTCAGAATTTAAGGATGCTTGAATGTTCTTATCACTGATATCTGGTCCAAAGCTTTCACCATCTGAGGTCAGAGAAGTTTCTTCAGATTTAATCCATAATTTCTGCGTGGTACTTTCAGTTTCGCTGTTCATTGAGGAATGATTGCTCTTGTTACTGACATCAGATTTGGAGCATCCAGTTTCTGAGCTTATGCTATCTTCCACACATTTTGAGGAAATTTCTACTTTGGGATCAAAAGATGCTGGAATACATTCATCACTAGCATCCTGAAAAGAACTGACAAGAAATGGTCTTGTTTCTTGCACATCAAATTTTGCCCTTGTGCTCTTTACACTACTTTTTAACTTGTCATTCACTCTTATGTAATGGTCTACTGGAGATATGTCTTGGTATTTTTCCTCTTTCTCAGATAAAACATTTTCATTTTCCCCTCTGAGGTCTTTTTTGGCCTTACACGAAGTCTTCTTAGGATTTCTGTTCTTGTCCCCATTTAGTTCTTTGTCCCTATTGGGAGGGGCTTCTGAATTAGATGAATGGTTGGCAGAGCTCTGACTGGCTATTTCAGTGCTAGCGCTTCCAGATTTCTTACTCTTTCTTGTTTTCTTTGTAGAAGCTTTTACTTTTTTCTTTGATTTCACCTTTTGTTCCAACTGAAAGGTAAATAATTTAATTACAATATTTAACAAAAGATCTGCATACATGTCTGCATGTTAAGTTTCAGACAAACAACCAAACAATCCAACTGAAAAAGATCATTTATATACACACTAGGCAGTTTTTTTTTCTAATCTGCAATGCTTTTGAGTAAATACTCTCCCATTTTTGTGATAAAGGCCCCATTCCCATACACACCATTGGTTAAAATCAAACCAACTTTATGGGGACTCTTGCTGAGTACAATCAGCTTAACTGGATGACATGCTTCCTCCTGGCATTGAATAGACTACAGAAAAGCTAGTGATTATACAAGAATGTTGGAAAAAAAGGCCTGGAATTCAGTTAAGCTGATTGCACTCAGCAAGAGTCCCCACAGAGTTGGATCAATCTACATAGATCAATGGTGTCTATGGGCATGGGGCCTATATAACAATTAAAAATCCGAGAGTATTACTCAAAAGCATTTTCCTAGAAGAGTGTGTGCAATTCAAATATTCTTATAATTGCTTACAATGTAACACATAAAATTGAATACTTCTTTTTAATTGTGCCAAGCATCTTTTAAGATGTTTAAAAACATTTCTGAGTTCATGAACAGTGAGAAACTCACTTCATCTCCTAGCGCACACATTAATATTAATAATTAATAACCATCTTTCTGATATCTCTGTTGTCTTTGCAGAGTTTTGTGTATTTTAACTAAATGAATCACCTCCTCAATGGCTACATCTAGATTATCAAGCTTCAGCAGTCCAAGTTTTTCGCCAACTTTTTGGAACAACTCATCAAAGTCAGCATCATTCTCTTTATCCTCCATGTCTGACCTAAGAATTAAAAAATAATGATTAAATGGATAAAAAAAAAACAGTGCACCATTTAAAAAAATCCAATCCGACTTTAAATGGAGAAAAAATAAATTGTCAAATCACAGGGACAACTTGTATTGAAAAAAATTCCAAACTCACCAATGGAACATTATCTTTTGATTGATACAAGAGTATTCTTCAATTTTCATACTCTAACCTCAAGTTATCCAAAGCTATAATGGCAAAGGCAAAACAAGCCGAGACAATAAAACTTGATGTTGTAACACATTACACTGACATAAAGATGAATGGTGTTAAAAAAGAGGTGAAATAGGGTATGCATTATGGGGGAAGGGCAGAGTTTGAGTGGCATGTTTTGAGTCACTAACTATATTCAAAGTTATTAACTTTTTCACAATCAAATTCAGTACTTGAGGCTGTACAAGACATGATTGCCAACTTCTGGAAAACCAGCTGAATATCATTTTTGCATTATGACAGTCTAGTGTGGCATGATCACACTTTTTGTAAAGTCTAAATTTATAAATGTGTGGATTTCACTCATTTTACAGACATGAGCCTAGGTTAAAAAAAAACAAAACCCTGAACATTTATCATGGGACCCAACACCTAACCTTGAAGAATATCAGGAACCATCAGAATTAAATTTAATAAAAAGCCTGGAATTCCGCTTTCCCTCTAAAAAGCTCATGTCTGATTTTAGCTGATGGCTATAATCGCTCGAGCTGACAGCCGAGCAAGACTAGTGAAGTTTTTTTTTTAAACAAAACTCAATCAACTTAATCCATTTTATTAAACATTCCATAAGTCATGAGGTTACTTTTATCGCTCGAAATATATCCATTAATTGATTACTTTTTCTAAAGCAAGTAGAGGCTAGAAAGAGCTACTATTTCAGTCAAATGTGGAAAGAGGCAAACGGTTTTCGACTACAGCCCTTTCTTACGAAGTATTACTGGCAATAACTAAAAATAAAATGGTACCCTATTTTTGTCATTTATTAACATTGAAATCACCAATTCTGATTTCTAGAACGTACCAGATTTTTGGACACTTGTGATCACTACAAACACTTTGACAATCCCAGTGTTTACAAAAAGCGCACCTGTCGCCTCGCCACCATTTTTAAATTCTCCGCTCAAGAGGATGCTGGGGAAAAACTCGAAAATATTAGGATTAATATATCCATTTCCTTGTTTATGATTTTTAGACGATAAATACAAAAAATGTCCCTAAATATACAAAATTTAGTCTATTTGCTATACCATTTGGTAAATTTTGAAAATTGATTACTGATCTTGAAATCTCGCCCAAACGTGATCCTATGTGCGAGAATCAAAAGCAGGAAGTTGACATTGGCATGCGGTAAGTTTGTAAACTTGACCTTATTTAAATTTTACTGCATGCATTCGAAACTATTTTGATGCGTGGTTCTTAGGCGAGTATATATTTTAATTTCACAACACCCATTTAACGTGATATTTATTTGATGGAGATTTACGTGAGGAAGACAATAAAACTATTCGATCAAACGTGACAAAGTTGACAAGAAAGTTTTTCATAGCGAAAATTTATTTACTGTCACAATTAAGAAACTTACTGGCAGGAGTTCATACAATGTGTGGATGTAATTATGTCACTTTTTATATGAGCATTTGTTCCTGTCCATGCCTCTGGCAATCCTTTTAACCTCTCAGTATTTACATCTGAATATCATACTTTAATACATCTGAATCCCCCTCCTATCTTTGATCTTTGATTTGTTTACACTTGTCTGTCATCCTGATTGGTTTATCAGTCTTGTTCATGAACATAGAAAACAACAGCAACAAACTGTTGAATACCATATTAATCTACCATATGGCAAAAAAAGTAGATCAAAATCTGTTAAGAATTTTTTAGTGAATTCCATAAAATGTAACATTGATATAAACCATCAGCTAATTGGAGCTTCTTGAAACAGAAAATCAAAGATAAAAAGGCATATAAAATAGAAACAGACATCATTTCACCCTCAAACTGTTACACCTACCAGGTAGTACCTTAAATTTCCTGGATTACTTCATTCCAACCTACCTACTAGTATTTACATGTATACATGCAGGCCTGTAGGCCGAGGGGGGGGGGGGGGGTTCGAGGGTTCAAAAGAACCGCCCCTTTTGCTGGGAAAAGGTCCACTTTGGGTAAAATATGATCAGGGTACATGAAGTTTTTATGGGAAAAGGTCCACCTTTTCAAAAAAAGAACCCCCCCCTTTTGAAATTGCTGGCTACGGGCCTGACATGTAACCTAGGCTGATCCAAATGCCTCTGCTGTCGGCTCTTCTTCATCTGTTGCCTTGATGCCATGGAATGTAATCTTGGCTACATCTCTAGATTTTTGGGGTTCATTATTATTATGTAGAATCGGCACTCATCCTTTCAAAGATTTATAAACTGTTTTCTAAAGCTATTGATTGATGGTGCTGTTTGAACTTCTTACAACTTCTATGATAATCATCTGTTCATTTGTTAATCAGGCCTCTACACTTCTAAGTCAAATGCAGGGAGCATAAACTTTTTACTTTTAAATTTGTAGTTCTGATTTTATTTGGATTTTGTTGTAGACCAAGATGTATATTAAATGCAAATGTTTTATGTTAAAAAACTATCATCAATTTGATAATGCTTCTGAAGGCATATTAGGTAATAAATTGATGAAAGATTGACTGCATTCCACTTAAGCTTGTAGACAAATAGGATGAAATCTAATGCAATTTTAAAATTTTTGGTAAAAAATTGTGTAAAGAAGCACATTTTTAAGTTTGACCAGTTTTTTTAAAGCAAATTTATATATATTATAATACACAAAAAAGAACTTCTGAAAACACATCTTACAGTAATTTTCAAGTATAAACAAGGTAGGTAGGAGACAAAACACCTACACAGAGCGACATTCAAAGTGACTGCTATTGGTTACGTGTTTTTTTTTTTTTTTTTTTTTAGGTGTGTGGGGGTAGGTGGGTGGTACGGCTGTTAAGACGTGAGGGGTATAGGCATTGAGTTAAAGGCCTTTGAAAACTAGTCAGAGACATTTTATTAAATGTAAATCCTTCCTTCCCTTTCAAGTTATCCCCAATTAGGCCTCCTAGATCCACATAATTTCTTCATTAAAATTTCTGTTAGGCAAAGCTTGTCACAATGCTGTTATCTGCTATCTTGTTTCATGTTTCATTAATGGATTTCTAACTCCCAGAGGAATGTAGAAGCATGTTTCCTGCATTACAAAACAGCACTACAGACAGTGTCTTCTTAGTCAACAGCTAATAGATTATCATCCATTTTCTTTGATCTGTATTCTGTGAGTGGTGGTATGAAGAGAAGTGCTTAATGTACTAGTATTTATTCTATTCCTAAATGAAAAATAGACTTGAAGAAGTGTATCTCTTTTTGCAGATGCTCTGTGGTTACTTGTACAGAATTTAATGATCTTGGTGAGTACTAGTACTTTAGGTTGAATCAAGGCTTTTCCCAGCAAACTGTCCAGTCGACATTTGGACTGGTGGTGGCATCACTAGATGGCTTATATTTTCAAAGATGGCTGGATGGCTTCTGAGTTTTTTTTTTTTTTTTTTTTTCAAGTGAAGGCTTGGACTCTCTTACATTTAGTAGGAACTTACAGGTGGACGGCCACAACCCCAATCCTTGGAAAACCTCTGGGTTGAATGTTAGTATATATGTTATCCAGCTGCAAATGCAATAAAAATATTTTAGTTATCTCTTTTTTTCTTTAAAAAAATTATTAAAGCACAACTTACCACCTTAAGCTACTATGCGAGTGACAAGGTGACATTGTCTTCAGAAATTTTTGGCTTGCCAGTATAAGTAAAATATTGAGCTTAATCAACAAGAGAATTGTTCTTTTAATTAAAGTCATTATTAAACGAAGCAATCTTAATTTTGATTTATAAAAAAAGTGACTGTGAAAATTGTGAAGAGATGTTTTGCAGGTCTTGGATGGAAGATGTGAACTAAAATTCCTATTTATTATGCCACATCAAGGCAATTGTGGAAGGTTGAGTGATCGTAATGCACTGCTCTTGGATTATTGATTACAACATGCACAACAGTGACATATCTGTTTGTTCTTTTCATCCATTTGAAGATGAATTCCCAGTCCTGGAAATAAAGGTTATTGATCAGATCAAGTCTTTTCAACCTGCATGCCACTGTTCATTCTATTATTCATGAAAAATGTCTTCTTTTTTTTACTATTGAATAATGAGGTTTAAGCTCATAGATGGATGGCTACATATGTTTTAAACTCTCTCTCTCTTCCCCTCTCTCCCTCTCTCTCTCTCTTTCTCTCTCCAGGCCTTCCCAACTATCAGACTCAGCACCGAATGATCCCGAATTCACCGGTAGATCGGACGGTAGATTCTGTGCTGAGTCTGGTAGTTGGGTAGGCCTGTCTCTCTCTCTCTCTCTCTCTCTCTCTCCACAAGCATAACAACACAAACACACATTTGTAAACTCCACCATTTCACACTTGATGTGTTATAGTACATAGTTCAAAGTAATACCATTTTGTGAAAATCTTTTGGGAAAAGTTTCCCATTCCCCCCAGGGTGTTATCAAGTCAATACAACAAACAGGCATCTTTCCTCAGTTCACCATTCTCTTCTGTATATTAAGCAAGCAGTGTAAATAGTGAAGTATTGATGCATTCTGATACAGCAAACACCACGATATTTTTGTTTCTTTCTAGTGATTTGTTTAATGTAGGTTATATTTACGGTAATTGATCTGATAAGGTGGTCAGCAAACATCAGGTCCAGTATTTATACCCAGTTTGTCCACTTTGTCTTCCAATGTTGCATTGTAACATATCAAATTTTGCAATGAATTATTAGGTCAAAATCCAAATTTCGACAGTAATACCAGAATAGGGCTTATGCAGCATGAAAAGGTTGTTTCTGCACAGTTGTGAAACTCACTGGCAAGAAATTATTTCTGGACTATATTACAACCCTCCATTTAGACCAGAAATTTTCTGAAAGTATAAAAAAAAAAAGAATTATAAATGATGTGCCACATAATACTGCTTTAAAAAAATCAATATTCTGTGGTTTTCTAGTACTAGTAGGCATAAATGCTGAAATGAAGCATTAGTCATGTTAGCAGTTTCATAATTATCATAACATGTCAGACCCTTTTTTTTTAGTCTAGTAGACTTAATAACGACAATTTCCCATTAATTTCCTTGGGTAGATATTATATACATGTTGCAGGAAATGTAGTCATTCAGTTGAATTTAATAATAACAATGATCATTTCCAAATTTATATTTTCCTTTGCAAAGTTACTTGGGTCTACTGTGTATAAGTTTATGACTGAAGTGAAATTTAGAAATTTTTCAAGTGTTTATTGATTAATTGGCAAAGGTGGTAATAAAATAAAACCAATATTCAATAAAACAGTAATAAAAATTCACCGTATCTGTGATTTATTGACAAAAAGTATCAAGTATTTGTATCAAGCATTTTAAGATAGCCAAAAATTCATTGACAGAGCATCTTTATCCTATTGTTTTAGTATAGCTGTGATAAATTTGTAATGCTTTGTATATCACAGGGGCAGATTTAGGCCATCTTCTGGGTCTTTCGGAAGACGGTCAGATTTTCAAGTTTACCTTGATGGGTGTGTAATTTTTTCTCTCGGAAGACGGTCAAAAATGGAGGATGGATCAATAAAGATAATTCGGAAGCCTATCAGAAAATATCTCTGGATCCGCCCCTGTATCATACCTGAAGTTTGAAATCCATATAGCTCTAAGCTACAGGTTAAATAACTGTACCTTATTCTGGCCTAAACCTCAATTTCAAGTGAAGTGCACTCACTAGTACTAGTAAGTAATTGTAAGGCAAGACTGAATTCATATGACAATGTTCCCATACAAACTAGATGGTGAAATATCTGAAACTGAGATGAAGGTAGCTACAGTACATGGTGTACATACTGAGTTTATTTCTTATCACAGTGATGGAGTCAAGTCCAATTTATTCCGAAACTTAATAAAAGATTGATAAAATTTTGATTTTATGATACCGCAGTAAATTACTTTGTGGAATTCTGTTATAAAATGAAAGAAAACTGCATGATACGCTCGATTCGATCATGTGCCATTCATAACTTGGCACAATTTAATGTTCAGAACAGTTACATTTCCTTGGCAGCGTGGGTGGGTGTCTAGAAATAATGCATGTTTTTTTATCTGAGAACTGCCACAAGTACAATCATTTGGTATCATCCCTTGATAACGGAGAGCTAATTAAGAAACAGCAAAGAAAGAAGCTTGTGAATCTTCATGAAAGGCACTGATTAATGCATCCTTGAGGAAATGCCTGTAGTATGAAGACTTATAAGGTTATGTATTTGCAAAGGATTTGTGATACGTTGTGGTTATCCAATAAACAGTGGAAGCACATTCAACTTGATGGGGATCGTGACTATCCTGAGTTCATTCAATGTGTATTTTGGATAGATACTAATAACCTCATTAATGACCCTTTATCTTGTAGTGTGCATAGTGGAGGGATTACATTGGCTCTCTTTGTTAGTTTGCAGGGGAAGTTTTTCATAAGAAAACAAGAAAATTAAAAATGTGTGTTTTACCACCCACTGACACCCCTTTGAAACAGCTACTTATTTGGCATTTGGGTTTGGGTTGGTGTTAGGAATCAAGATTTCATGGGGGGAGTCAGATTTTCATTACGAAATTTTGACTCTGGGGGTCAGATTTTCATACATGTAACAACGGTATGATAAATATTTTTAACAAGTATCAATTATTTTTGTTCTGTTGCATATCCAAGACAGAGACAATTCAGTTACTAGTAAGATTGCAGGTACGTGTCTCTGTAAGTTATGCTGCTGCAAATGTATGTTATAATGTCCTTGCATATCATACTTTTTTCAGATGCCTGGGGGGGGGGGGGGGGGGCACACGGCTTCTCTGTTCACATGCATGTCTCGCACTGAATTTCAAAGTCAAATACCTCTTAAAAACTAGATTATCAAGTGCTGTTTTTATAAGTCTTATCTGTAGACTTTGAAATCGGGTTGTTTTACGAAAGATATCTACTAGTAGGGTAACATTCAGGTGACACAAACGGTGATTTCTGTCTGTGTGTAAGTGTCATCTTGAACATGGGTCTAGAGCTGATTTTTCTAAAATTGTCACACTTTGGTAGTAAGGTGTGTACGGAGCTTTGACTTTAAATAAACATTTCAATTGCACATTGTAAATAGATACAGTATGAGCTTAGGTATGTTGGTCATATGATTAGAAAAAACAATTAATTGCCAGTTGAAAAGCTTGATTTTATAAATGCATTGAAAATTCCATGTCGTGAATCAGCTAGTATAGGGGAAGAAGATGCTTTTCCTTGCCGTCAAGTCTGACCCAGGCTTGCAGTAGAAACTCAGCAATTCTTAGAAACATGATCACCTTGCTGTTTGAAGTGCTTTATATAGAATTGGAAATCAGCCTGTAGGAAAAATGTAGCACGAAGTTTTGACTTATTTGGAGCATTAATAGAAACAATCAATTCTAGCAATATTATTTTGCCAGATATTTTCTACCTAAAACAGAAGTCTTGTGCGTCAAATGCTGAGTTCTTTTATTATTCATTGCAGAAGTTATGAGATTTTGAAAACATGGGCATTTCATGCTGCAGTACTTAGTAAATTGAGCACAAAAAGATTACCTGTAGAAATTAATGGACCTTATAAATCAGGTATATGTTGAGCTCCGTAAGAATTGATTAACTGTTATGATTATATCTTGTCATATTTTATGCCGAGCCGGCAGCAGAAACTGAAGTCTCTTCAGATGCAGTGACTCATCTGTAGTCGGTGATATTGATTTTACCTCCAAACCGTATCAACAATAGTCTTCTTCTCTTTCACCGCAGGCATAATTGGGTAAGCGATTAGTGTATGTCGTCAGCAGCGAGGAAACCTACAAGTGGATGCTGGATTGTGGGTCGGCGGATGATTTTCAAGCAGAGGGGAAGAAGAGAGTGATAACCCAGGTAATAAGTAAAATATCTATCACATGTGAATAGGCACTAGGTCATGGTAATATTATATATATATATGTATCATGTGTTATAAAATTTACCTCATGAGGCTGACGAAAAAACTCCTCCTAACAGTGGAATGCTCTATGTATGTGCTTAGTGGGTTTTTACTATCAATGAGATCATAATTTATTGTTTTTTGAAATGCTGATTTGTGAATTGGGATTAGGGGGGTACTAGTAAAGTCATTCAGCATAAGATAATGGTGATTTGTTTTAGTAAGTAGAAATGCTAGTGAATAAAAGATCTGATGATAAAAGTGGGTATTCAGGCGTTTGATATGATTATGGGTTCATTTGAATTATGCATAGTAATAGATGTAATGAAATGAGGGGAGTGTTTTTTTTTGTTTTGTTTTGTTTTTTGTTTTGTTTTTTTTTATATCCTGTTTAAATCAACAAAAGTTTTTAATTTTAAAGTATGGGTAAAGAAGATGTGTAATAAGGTAAATCATTTTGTTAACCCAGCACAGTAAGAGAATGTATGATATGCATTTTTGCTCATTTTTTAACATTGATTTTTTTCCTTATTTTCCAGTCACCATATTGTGAGTTTGAAGATCTTGATAGCAATCCTCCAGAGCAGTGTAGATATTTGCTGATTACATAATTGGTAAGTGGCTTGATTAATCATTGATTTTAATTGTTTATGAGTGTCTGTATGATAGCATCTGAGCATTGCAGTACTAGGTGGCCTTCATTGTCATGTATATGTTTCTTTAGCAGGTTAACAGAGAATTAAGAAGTAGATAACATATTTATACATATCCATAATCCATGGAGCTGTTCTTTTCTGTTGGTTTGGCTATCCGGTATTGAACTGACTGTGGACTGATGTGTCTGCAAATAGATAATTGTTGTCCAGTGGAAATGATTTTAGACATGCAAAAAGAATCATCAGTGCCATACCCAATTTATAAACATCTCTGAAAATATTATGAGAATTCAATGATGTTATATATTTATCTTATATCTGATGTGTTAATTCTCCTTTGGATGAATTATAACTGTTCTCACCATGTTCATAGTAATTATTCTAAGACCCGATTCCCATAGACACATTCTGTCTACATGGATCAACCCAACTCTGCAAAGACTCTTGCCAAGTGCAATAACCTTAACTGAAGTTTTAGAAATAACCCGCAAGCATTTTGGAAATATTGGAGGGTAAATGTTAATGCAAATTTTAGAAATAAGAGTAACATTGATTCTGATTCATGGGTTAAGCATTTTAGAGAGTTACTAAATCAGGATATTACGATCAATGAAGGATTTAGAACAGAGGTAGACTCTCAATTAAAAAGTCATGAACAAAATTGTAATCAATGCGATGATGATAATCCGGCTGTTTTGAATGCTCTATTTTCATGTGATGAGGTGCTCTCCGCCCTGAATAGCATGGCGAATGGAAAAGCACCAGGGGAAGATGGGATAGTCTCTGAACTGAACTGAATAACATGCCTCCTCTTGTTTCCAGTATGAACTTCATAATCACCAGCTCATGTGTATTCTACCTAATGCAAGGAGGAGGTGTAGCATTTAGTTAAGCTGATTGCAGTCAGCGAGAGTCCCCACAGATTTGGGTCAATTCACGTAGACAAATGACATCTATGGGCCCATCACTCAAGACAATGAACAATAACTTATTATTCCTAATTGGGTTATGTAATGCTGATGGAACTACTTAGTTTATGTAATAGTTGTAGCTTGATTGAGACTGGCATGACATTTGCCTCATGGAATATCCTAATTTTTCTTTTATTGATGATCCTGGACCCAAGATAGTGCTCAGGCCCATATGGTAGGAGAGGATATATTTTATGATGCTTTTATTTTCTCTATTAGACTTTTTTTTTTTTTTTTTGCATATTTGGCATTTATTTTGAATGGAATAAATTTATCCTTCATAAAAATTACTCTGTTATACATCCAGATAAACTTATTGTATATTCTAGGAGAGTATCTTGCTTTGTCTCGACATCAATCAGAATTATACATATCAAGGGAAACCAATATCAATTAAGCATGCTGATTGTCTGTGAATATACTTTTGCCTTTGGAACATTTTCACCCACTAATGTTCATCTACCACTTCAGACTGAGTGGTTTAACGCCATCTAACTACTTGTAATCCTGTTCTAATAGCTTGTAATTGAGGCGGGAAAGATTAAACATATTGATCTTCAAGGAAAATCCGACCATGTTTTAAAGGTCAGAGGCTTTCTGTAGGCATTCTTATATTGTCTCTCAGTGATATGTGTTATTCGCTGGAGGTGAAGTTAATGCTGGTTTATAAAAAGTTTGTAAAATGTCAAAGATGTTCCGTGGTAGCATAACCAAGTGAAGTGTATTTGCCAAACTATCATTGGTTTGGTGAGAAAACCACACACTTTTTATATATCAATTCCAGTCAACGCTGAGTTTCAAAGCATGAAGGTGACTCCCCCTCCACTCATTAGACATATTTTACATTTCTAGTCTGTGTGGTAGTGATAAAAAAAATTGCTGAAAAGACATAGACATTCAGAGTGCCCAGAAAAGTAATTTTATGAATTATATTAATAATTCCAGCTTTTTAATACCTTGGCAAATTCATACATAATCACTGGTAGAAACAGTTGGTAATGGAAATTATAATCTGAGGCAGTATTGGATTAAACATGAGAATAGTCCTTCAGTACATGTCATGTGGCCGTTTTATATTAGATAAAATAGGATGTGTAAAATCTGAACTGATTTAGGCCCATGGGACATTGCTGTCTGTTTATTTTGATTTTACAGTGATTTTGACACACAGTCCTTTGTGAAGACTGCAGGATTCTTTGGATGTGGAAATAAGTATTAGTTAATATTCATTAGTAGCTTATCAACCTGAATTATTATTTTTAACGATGGCTGATGGCGTCACTTGGATCCTTACCAGCTCAAGCTTTTTTTTGTCTCACCACACCTGTATGAAGTCTATAATTTTTCTATGAAGGCCAAACACAGAGGAAATTTGGCAGCTAGACCAGAAAGCCGATTGATCACTTAGAGGAAAAAGTACCAAAATAATCATAATCAGCACCATTTATTGATTCCTTATATTAAAGTGTGAAGTGATGGAATGTAGTCAGAAAATAAGTGTCATGATAGTGATCATCAAATTTGGGCCTGTCTGTGTCCAGTTTTAATTTCATAATGAATTAAATGGGGAACAGGGATTACTGCATTTTCCCATGAGATATTTACTAGTACAGTATTTTGTTTTTTAAAGACAAAATTGAATTGCCAACTTTTTTCCCTCTTTTTAACCACACTTGTAATGGCTGTTTTGCTTGCAGTGGCATGTAAAATTCCACCTGATTAGATAATGGATGGATGATCATGAGAAATGCAGTAATCTCCTGAATAAGGGAAACATAGGGGCGTTATAATAATTATCTATCATGTACGCCGATCAGTTTTGAAAGAGCCTTTGCACTGCAGAGAAGCTGGGTTCTCATATTCTGGATTGGGTTTTTGTATCTTTTATGTCAGTGATAAAAAACAATAACAATAGAATGATGTCTGTAAAAACTAATTTAATTGGTAGATAAGTACTGATACTTAGGTTAATGAGATTGCTATTATAATCATGATAGTCCCATGCAGCCACATGCAGGCATAACAAAAACTCCAAAGGTTTGCATTTTCAAGTAAAGGGCCTGCTGAAATCTAAATATATCACAGGACCAAGTATTTTCTGATGCATGAAAAGTGCTAGTAATTATTAAATTGGGCAGTGTGAATAAATAATATTCACTAAAATAATGTATTGTTAATGGATCAAAAGACATCATGCCAGAAAATACACTAATTTATGTGAGCACTAGTACAATAAAAGTGATTTCTCTTGAAAAGTTAAATATAGGAATGAGTGATATAATCCAGCAAAAAGAATTAACATTATATCTTTATCAAATTGGAATGAGTGAGACATAAAAATAATTTTTGCTTAGATAAACAGTGTGAACTAGGCCATCATAACTTTTTATAGATATTCGAGGCAATGTTGCTGACACGTACACCCTTGTGATGTGCTTGCATCCCATGATACTTGGTGACAATTGGGTTGTAGAGCTGGATTCACAGGTATATTTATGTACTACCAGTATATATATATATATACACACACACACTAGTATATGGTCCCATTCAGAACAGGGTAGTAACAGATCCGCAAACCAAATATTCAAGTGGTTCTGTTGTTTGTAAGAAACTTTGTAATAGAAAGTTATTCTTTTATGTCATGCTACAAGTAGGATATGGGACATCTTTTCCTGAAATATTTTCTCAATATTAGTGAAGGCATTGTTTAACTTAGTATTCAGATATATGTAGTTTGACCAAAGGAAATTCATATTCATTTGTATTTTTGTGAGCAAAAAGTCCTTTTGGATTATTCAAATGCAGTATATCAAGCAATGGTGTAAACAACTTAGTGGGTGTAGGGCTTCAATACAAAGATAACGATTACGGGCAGTGCTTTAATTTAGAAGCTATAAGAAAACCTAATCCATCTTGTTGTTTACACATGGTATCATAGCTAGAGCATGTTTATTAAGAAAGGACAAGTACCTGATAATGTGGCAAGAGCCATTGTTATCATATCTATCAAAGGTGAGCACAGAAAAGTAGCACGGAATGCAAACAATGTCCGTGAATTGTGTTTTCTTAGCACATAGGAAGTCTGCTGTGTTTGGCCAGACACCTTGTGTGACTGCGAAAAATACCCACACATAAAATTCTAATTTACAGGAAGTGGTAGGCTTCAAGAGCGCATTTGATATTAATTTTGTTTTCCTAGAAATAATCCACCCTTGATGAGTTTTGATCAGGTACATTGGACCGTGAATTTTGCATCAGCCATGCCTGAACTAACAAGTACCTGTGTATTATCCACAAGGAATCTCCCTGTAGGCATTCAAGCAATATCAGTAGTGATTAATGTGACCAATAGCTGTTTAATTTCCCATTTGTAAACTGCTCATGAATATGTTTTCTCAAGTGGGGAAGCACACACAAGTGGGATATTTAACTCTAGTGATTATATTTTTCTAGTTTGGCGATAATTGTTCTTTAAGCCTGCAGTGATAGCCACTGGCAATACTCATTGTCCATAATCGTTGCAGTTCTGTCCATGAAGATGTAAGATTTAGGCCTTATGAATGGATTAGGCATTTACCACCCTGAGCTTCAGAGCTAACTTGACACTAACCTCTTCACTGGAGCCTATCTTCATCGTGTCAAGTAACCTCTGACCAGATTCGATTGCCTCCGCCGCCCGCCAATCAAATTTAAAAGCCCGCACTCAATGACTCATTAAACGATCTAGCCAATGAACGCGAACGAGTCAAAGCGCGCTTTGTTCAAATCCGGACCAATTAAAGATAAGGCTGAATATCAGGGACTTGCCGTAACCTGTGGGCAGCACGCAAATAACATCGTCTCTCAGTAGATAATGATGCAGGGCCTCAAACTGCTAGACCCTATGGTTTCAATTCCGATTTACTCATATTTTGCAAAGAATCAAGAGATAACTTAACACATTCTTTTTCGTAGTCACTCGCCTTGCTTTCTTTGTGTACGGTAATACACTCGGAACTACTCGGATGTCTCCGCACTCGACAATAACTATGTTGTTAGTATGGAGCTTGCGGAATCAGCCGAGGATTGCCGATTGACTGTCAACCAATCAGCGTTTTCACCAAACTTTGGTGAAAAATTTTGAAACATGGATTTGATTGGCTTATATAAACTAGGTCAAACTATTTTCGTCAGAGGTTACTTGACACGATGGAGATAGGCTACAGTGAAAAGGTTAGTGTCAAGTTAGCTCTGAAGCTCAGGGTGGCATTTACTAACACTACCTGCAGATCTTTTAGCACAAACCCACAAATTAACTGACACAACTTACAAGTATTTGGCACCACCAAAGCAATACCTAGCACTAACATTCATCCGCTCTGGTAGTGCTGGTTTATTTGTGGGTTATGTGGTTAATATGGGTGTTAGTGCTAAAAGATCTGTGTTAGTAAACACCTAATCTGTTTATAAGGCCTGAGATTTAAAGTTCTCGAGTGCAGCCATCACTGTCACCTTCAAAACATCAGTCTTTATAACTGTCAAACCATTTTTTTTTATTTTGCTTTAAATTTACTGAGTAGCATTGTATTATATGGTGTATCATATTGCTTTTTTTCTTTTTAGCTTTTGTTATTGCAAGGGAAAAAAACTACCACAAAGCCACTAGTGCCATTTCTCTAAATGTCACAGAGAGTACATCAAGTAATCGTAAGTAAAAAATAGGTAAGAATTTTCGGTAAGATATTGTAGCATGCCCTTTTCAAAGATGTAAAAAAAAAACTGTAAAATGACATGGTGTAATATGTATTTTTAATAGCAGTTGTAACTTTGAAGTGGAACGTAAAGATAATATTTTATCACCATGACTATGACCACATCTCATACATGAGTTAAAATTTCTGAAAGTTGATACAATATATTTTTCATACAGATTGTTGTTTGAAGTAAGATCAACATCCCATTGAAATGCTGTTTGTAAGTTGCTTATAAGTTATATAACTTAAGTGTATCAGTCATTCTTTTTACAGACAAATCCAGTCTGCCCATGGTCATAGATTCTTCCGGTTTACAGATATAAAGCCGATTCTTTGTAAGGCTTCAGTTTTATTTGCGTGAGTGTGTGAATCTCTCTCTCTCTCTCTCTCTCTCTCTCTCTCTCTCTCTCTCTCTCTCTGTGTGTGTGTGTGTGTGTGTGTGTGTGTTTGTG